GGCAGAGGCAGCCTTAGTGCATCTGCGGGCCGGGTGGCAGCAGTGCAGAGGCACAGGCAGTGCCAGTGCACCCGTGGGCCGGGTGGCAGCAGTGCAGGGGCACAGACAGCCTTAGCGCATCCGTGGGCCGGGTGACAGCAGTGCAGGGGTGCTGACAGCGTTAGTCCATCTGCGGGCCTGGAAGGTGAGAGCTCAGAGAGGCACCCTCACTGTCAGATCCCAGCAGGAGGGAGCTGAGCCATCCCTACGTCTCTGATGCCAGGATCTACGCCATGTCCCTCCTCCGAGCGGGCTGGCCCAGTGACATCTGCCGTGGTTTCGTATTTTCACCCCAACTGGGCGCCTGTTCCCGGAGCAGAGTTACCCCTATGCAGAGTCCATGCAGGCCCTGGAAGTGGGGAGCTCTGCCTCCCTCCCTCTCCCTTCCACCGGGTTCACAGAGCCTCTGCCCCTGACAGGACCTCTGCGTGCGGTCTGCCTGGAAGGGGAGCCCACCTCCCTCCGGGACTCCGTAGAGCTTTTCTGGGCTGGGAATGTGTACGGAGTGATCATTGCATTTGTTGGGTGTCTGTACATTTCTGTTTCTGATCCCTAAAACATGAGTTTTAACTTGCAAACACACACATGTCTTTTCCCCCTCACCTCTGCGTGGAGGAGTGAGAGAAAGCAGCTGTAAGAACGCCGGTGCGTGTGGGTTTCCCCGTCGGATCTCCTGGAAAGAGTTGTGTGTTCTTGCACGGCGGGACACCAGCCTTGTTCGTCCTGTTGTGGAATAACCCAAGTAAGCCTGCCAGCTACCGAGGCAAGCCGAAGGCCACGTGGGAGCACATTAGCGGAAGACGCTGCTCCTACGCGGACAGGACAGGGACAGACGGGGACCAGCAATTAGTGTAATGGCTATGTCGCTGGACTCCCATGTAGTCGACCGCAGTTCGAGTCCCGGACCCAGTGGCTTAAACTCATGCCGGGCACATGTGCGCAGGTGCCCAAGACCCCGAGAGGAGAATGGAGAAGGGATTGCGGCGTGGCCATCCCCCCTGGGGGGTGGTTTCTCACTTTCTGTCTCTCTGTCTCTGTCTGGCGAGCGCACGCGCCCTATAGCAAAAACCTCTCAACAAAACGAACAAACAAGGACAGGGACGGATGCTCACGGGAGCAGGCACCTGGCACTGAACACTGTCCTGACCGCGGAGACCGCAGTCGGCCGGCTCAGCGATTTCGCAGTCAGCGCCCTCCCTGTGGCATTGAAGGTTTCACAGCTCGGTTTGCTGTCCCGACTTCGGCCAACACCTGGGGTTTTCACAAACCCACAGGGCCCACGCCGGCCCAACCACCGTGGCACAGGTGTCAGGCGCTGCTGCGGAAGGCTGGAGCCATGCGAGAAGGCCCAGGGTTCGGATCCCAGGTTCTCCTGAACACACCAGGAGACAAGGGACTGGTGGGGGCCGCGGCAGGTGGGGCCCCGTCCAGGGTACACCCCTCTCGCTCTGATGAGTGAACCTCGAAAAACTCAACAGTGCACACGTTTTCTTGGGTGAGACAGGCCCCGTTCTTGTACTGTGAGAGCTTAACGTTGCCCAGTATTGCGCAGTTCACGTAGTTTTAATGGAGAATATTTTGTGTTTGCTATCCATGCGTTTTATTTTCTGTACACGCTGAGCCAGTACCTGCAAACTGCTGAGGTATTAACACTTTGTCTGCCGTAGCTGCAGGTGCTCCCGAGGCCCTGGTCTACCTGGACATGGTGTGCGTTACCTCACTTAGGCACCCTGGTGCCACCCTGCTGGCCTCGGGCAAGCTGTGCAGGGCCGAGGCCTAGGTAGTGGACGTGTGGGCAGAGACGTGGGGCTCGGGGCCAGACCCAGTACAGCCCTGTGAGGGGTGATCATGGCGGAGCTCAGAAGAGGGTCCCCGGCATTGCCTGAGAGGGAGGGCCAGGGCGGGGGCCGAGAAGGTTCCAGAAAGAGATGGCACGGGAAGCATAGAAGGGCAGAGGGAGCTAGGAGGAGAAGGAAGGTTTCAGACATAGTGGGGTCGCGCCCTCTGAAGGCGTGGGGGCCTGGGGAAGCTTGTCCCGCTGCACCTCGCCCCAGGGCAGCCTGGTGTCCTAGAGATACTCCGTGTGCCCCTTCTGTCCTGGAGCCTGCCCCTTTCCTCAATGAGGGTCGCTCAGCCAACACCCTGGCGCCCCGAAGCTCCGGTGGCCACGTGAGGTGACGGCTCCCTTAAGGCCCACACGTGCCCTTTCCAGGGTCACAGACGTGTCCCACACAGTCTTCCTGTCCCATGTTCATGTGTTAGTGTGACGTTACACAGGCGTGGGGGGAGCCGCGCGGGGCCGGCGTTCTGTTGTGGGAGTTCGAGAACGCTGAGACAGTCGGCCCCGTGGCTGTGGCCGTGGCTGTGCCCTGGGGTGGCTGTGAGAGGAAGCAGTTACAGAGGACCTTGGGTGCCCAGACGCTCCCAGTGGGACCCATGCGTCAGCCCGTCTCCGACATTCTGAAATGCAGTTCAGGCTGCACGTGTGTCCACGGTACCTGATCTGCCCTAAGAAGCAAGGCCCCTAAATTCGGGTCCCGCAAGTCCTGGCCGTCATCTTTAGCTTTTCAGGTCCTGTCCATCCCGCGCCTCCCTCCGTGGCTGGGTCGTAGCTTTGCCCCAAGGGCCGTCATGTCACGGAGCTTTGTGTTATCCAGGGCAGGCCCCGGGAGGCCACTGTGAGCACCACCGGAAGTGGGTTCTGAGAGTGGTGGCCAGCAAACCAGAGAGGGTCCCCTCCATGGCATCTCTGCAGGGGCGCTGTGGCCTCGGTCGCAGGATGTCGTTACTTGTGTGTGTGAGTGTGTGCGAGTGTGTGAGGGGTCGGGGAGGGAGCCTGCTCGGTGTCAGTCCAAGGATGTTAATATAGGGCCCCAGAGGCAAAGCTCGCTCTCACTCACGCTCTCTGATGGTAGACGCTGGTGGTGGGGGACAGGAACCCTCTCCACCTCCTGGTGCACCTGCCTGTCCTCGAGCACCCGCCTCCCGCGTGTGCATGCTACAGTCTGGGACGTGACCATGTGCCTCTCTCCCTCCAGGGTAAGAAGAAGAAGAGGAAGAGAGAGAAGCTCCAGGAATCCGCGTCAGGTAGGCACCGTGGGCCCCAGCTGTCCTCGGGCTCCGACAGGCAGGCAGACTCCTGAGCCGGCAGTCTGCACACTGCGCCCACACTCCGCGGTGGCCTCCGGCTGCGCCTAGTGGTTCTTGAACTCCACTCTCCTCCCTGAGAGTCTTCACATTAAAAACAAAAAAACAAACAAACAAAAAGCAAACTCTTTCTCATGTGACCATGTGAGGTACACGGAGGACCGCTTTTCCAAACCCTGTCACCTGGCGTCCTGGTTGTGAACTGAGGCTGTTTTTCCCTTTCGTTTTTGTTTTTGTTGTTTCTGGTTCTCTGTTCTCTTTGCTTTAACACTCCCACTATCTTTCTGTTTGCATAACTCCTTTAAATTCGGCTTTTATGAGGATTATGTAACAGGCACCTGTAGCCCCAGGAGGATCTTCTGTGGTTGGGGGTTTTCATGGAGAGACCACGATGAGACTTCATCTTTCTTGTACCTTGAGTCAAGGCATCAGTGAGGTCCCGTTTATTTTCCTTTCATGAAAAGAAGGCCCCTCGCAGAGCGCACAGACACTGGCTGCCTGAGGCCTGCACGGAACAGGGCAGGCAGGTCCCCGCGAGGGGGTCCCCGAGTTTGGGATGTGCACACCCTATTCAGTGACAAGTTGTTAAAGACGCGATTTTCTGCAGGTACAGGGCCCCGAATGACAGCCGCCTACATCTGAAGCATGGTAAGAACACTCTGACCCGCCGACCGGCGTCCGGTCCGAGAGGGGCGCGGGCCCGTCACCCTCTGCTGGCGCGAGTCCGCTGGGCCTTGCTCCTCGCGAGGAAAACACCCCGGTCCCCCGTGCGCGGAGAGGCCTGTCGGTCGTGCCGGCCGCGTTTCTGTTTTCGCGATGCAGCGTGCTTGGTCCGGTCCCCTCTGCCCTCCGTGTGGCCCCTGTCTCCCTGCCCTTACCCCTCACTCCTGACCTGTGTCCTACTGACCGCGGCCAGCCCGCTGCTTCAGCTAACCCGGCGGCCCGCACGCCAAGGCAGGACTCCCCCGTGCGCGGAGAGGCCTGTCGGTCGTGCCGGCCGCGTTTCTGTTTTCGCGATGCAGCGTGCTTGGTCCGGTCCCCTCTGCCCTCCGTGTGGCCCCTGTCTCCCTGCCCTTACCCCTCACTCCTGACCTGTGTCCTACTGACCGCGGCCAGCCCGCTGCTTCAGCTAACCCGGCGGCCCGCACGCCAAGGCAGGACGCCACCTCTGCAGCCAGCTGTGGTTGCAAGAGCCGGGCTAGCCGGCCTCGGGGCTCCTCT